AGCTCTCGCAGCTCCCATTGGCCGGGAACGGCGAACTGTGGCCACAGGGAGCTGAGGGGCTCCATGCCTGCAGACGCTCCAGGTGAACAAAACGTCCTGACCCGCCAGCGGCTTACCCTAGCGGGCTGGGAGCCAAATTATGCCAACCCCTGAAATACAGGATTGGTTTATGAAAGAGTCATACAGTTTTTGCAATTTTTACCTAACCATCTTGGGGGGTCAGCTTATAAAAGAACGGACTAATGAACAAGTATATATTTAAAATAGTGGACACTTCAATGGATGTTAATCTTTTTGAGAACAGATTAGCTAACCTGTTTTCTATTCTGAATAGGTTCAAGAAGTTTTCTGAATGTGTGATCTTGGGTGATAGCTTTTGTCTGTGAACTGAATAATCATAATAAATGAAACCTATACTTCCTGTTCTTCTAGATCTCAAATGTACAGTATTTTCAAATAAATTGTTTTGACAAGGCTGCTTCAAATGATATTGTGAACATTCTTCTTGATCAGATTATTCTCTCTGATTATGTCCCTGTATGTGTTGCATTCTCAAAAGAACTATAAATCTAATATACTGATGGGCTTTTATTATGATAGAAAAGTTATCCAGATGATCTCTGGTCTCGTGGGAAGCCTCAAAAATGCACAGAGAGATGTCACCATAAATTAAGACTCGGAAGATATTTTATAAACCACTTTTTTTTAAATCAATAATGAAACAAAAAATAACATAAGTGGGGAAATAAATATGACCAAATGTTATAAAACTTGCAGAAATGTAGCTATTAAAGATTTTCTTGTAGTAAATAACAAGAGGTGGAAGGTATTTGCTTGCATGTGTGGTTTGTTTAATAGCTCCCCTCCCCCTTTTAATAGCATTCTGTTTTCAATTCAGACTGTTTTGTCAATAAATGTAATACAAAAGCATTTGTTTAGATGTGGTGTAGTTGAACATGCAAGAAATAATGCCTGACAATATGCATTGTTGTGAGAATCCAGTACACCTCGGTTGCAAAGTGAGAATTGTGCAATGAAAAGACAAATAACTCATCACTTTTGAAGTACAGTGTTTGTAGATTGCATGCTCTTGAGCATTATTTTACACAAAAATTTCATTGACTTTTTGGAGGGGGAGCAGGAGTGGTGAAACAGAATGGTTACATAGCTCTCTGAGTCATGCAGTAGTTGCCCCATAATCACATGGGCCAAAACCTTCACTTGTGTGATTACTTCTTCAGTTTTCCTCAAGTTTTGGGTAACAGTAGTCTACCAGTATTCACTGTGTATATGACTTTTAAATAAAAAATTATATTAAATACCTGGCTGTTAGAAATAAAATGTAGTTTTAGAACTTCTTCTTTTATAATACTTCCATAAAAATCCATTGGTTGCACCTTTTTGAAAGCTTCTGTTTAGTAAGTATATATCTCCTGGGAATATACACGTCTGATTAAGACATTGATTTTACTGGTTTCATAAATAATGAAGAAAATAAGTAGGAAAATGCAAGTATCTCTGCGGGAGTACCATGTAAATATAAACAAAAAAACAGGCCTAGTTTAGGGTGAGGGATGAATTATAAAAGCCTTAGTCCTGCCATGAATGCAGGGGACTGGACTAAGACTTCTTGAGGTCCCTTCCAGTCGTATGATCTTGTGATTCTATCTTTAAAACATCAAAAGCAGGACTGATAGCTGTACACTATATAATTTGTAGTGGAAATCTAAGCGGTAAATATCAATATGGTGTAAAGTGATTTCACGGCAGGACTTCTGATAATCCTGATGGGAGTTAAATCCATGCACACCATTTTAAAAATCCATATTTTAATTGTAACGTTATGTTTTTGCTTCAGTATGTTCACCCAGTTTGTGTTTTTCAAAACACCTACCTTTTAGAATAGCATTCCAGTGTGGGAACATATACTTTGTTTCTCTTCAGCACAAAACCATTTACTTTTATTGGTTTGTCAGAGTCACTGCTATTATATTCCAGAATACCTAAAATCTGAGCAGACATGACATTGATTCACTTTATTTAAACAAACTGAGTGTATTTGTTTGCACTATCTCATATAGGGAGTTAATTATGTGACCATATTTATTACTCTAATCATAATATTATAGGAGACAAACTTCTTTTACAGCTTAAACGTGCTGCTAATTTTTCTGTCCTCTTTCTTAATTCAATTACATGAAATGCAAACATAGAACATTTAACACAGTATATTTTATGTTTTTCCAGTAAAATAAAGCCCATTTTATCCATTGTACAACTTACAAATTATAGTTACGCATGGAAAACATGCAACTTTATCTGATTTGTGCATCTTATTTACCCAGTAATTGAATGACACTACAATACAGAAAATGTTATGACTGTGATAGTAGTATTTTGTGTTCAAGATTTTATCCAGAACTGTAAAATTAATACAGGCATTCCTCTATTATTTGAGTGGTTACACTTTTAGTGAAATTTGTGTAGATGTAACAGTTTAAGTAGTTATCACCGAATAAATAAAATAATTTAAATATTTATTGCCCAGTGGGAGAAGGCTCCAGACATGGTGCAGAAAATTCCTTTTCCCCTTTGTGTATTGCTTCTGCATGGTACTCTCGAACTGCCATTGCCAGATGTGGACATGCTTCTTTTGAAAATAACTGTATCACTATTATACGCAAGGCTCTGGATTATTTGCTTCCCTACCAGAAGAACATTGTGTGTGGGCGGATTATTGGCATTTCAAGGTCTGTGCAGAGTCTGGGAAGCTGAGGCCTACAGTAAACAAAGCAACAGAAAAGAGGGGGAGCAGGGAGGGGCATACATCTGACTGATTATTTTAAGAAGACAAGTTCCAAGAAGTTTTGAACTCCGAGGTAGTGCAGCAAACTAAATAAGGTTAGCTCTGTTCAGAGTGGATGTGTGGATTCATTAATTAAAAACAAAAAACCCAAACCCAGGGCAGTACAGTAGATAGGTAGTATTTGTTACAGCTTTGTAGACTAACTTCCATTAAAGGACAACTTAAAAGATACAAATAGCTCCTTTAGAACTTAACTTTTGTTAGTATGATACTTTAAAACTGCCCTTTCAGAATGCATTCAGAGAAGGAGTTTATTAAAAGTGTGTGTTTATTTAGAATCTCCTTTATTATTGTAGTGACATTTATGATACTAGGAAACTGTATTAGGCTTGCAAAGCCTCCCATTAGTGCCCGTTTTCCTTAGAAAATAATATGAAATACAGACCAAAACTACAGCTTACTCTTTTTAAAGTTAGAAAATGTAAGTGTGTGTGTGTGTGTGTGTGTGTGTGTGTATGTATGTATATATATATATATATATATATATATATATATAAATATAAAAGGTGTACTTGGAATGAAGTCAGTTAATTGCTGCTCTGTGGTTCGTTTCCAGGTCCTTCAACAGCTTTTAAATCACTTCAGAAAAAACAAAGATAAAGTTCTTCTCTTCTCCTTTTCCACCAAGGTGAGCTCTATATCACTTACATCACGACTGACCTCAGCAATAAGTCCTGAGGCATAAAGCACAGGGGGCAGCAGCAGCTGTCAACCACATTTTCTTTCTCACATGCACTATGGGAAATAGTGTTGATATGGACAATGTGCAGTACTAAAGAAAACATCTTGAAACCTTATGTTCTCTCAAGGACAGTGGCAAGGACAAATGTAGTAATCGCCTTTCTTCTTTGGACTTGTCTTCACTGGAGTGTTAGCTGGAGTTGTCTCCAGTCATTAATAGGGCCCTACCAAATTCACGGTCAGAGGATTTTTAAGATAGTAAATTTCATGATTTCAGCTATTTAAATCTGAAATTTCACACTGTTGTAATTGTAGGGGTCCTGACCCAAAAAGGTGTGTGTGGCGGGGGGGCGGTTGCACAGTTATTATAGGGGGGGGTTGCAGTACTGCTACCTTTACTTATGCGCCGCTGCTGGCGGCGGCACTGCCTTCAGAGCTAGGCAGCTGGAGAGTGGCAGCTGCTAGCCGGGAGCCCAACTCTGAAGGCAGAGCTGGACCCAGAGTCAGCAGCTCCCACTCTCTGGCAGCCCAGCTCTGAAGGAAGCAGCGCAGAAGTAAAGGGTGGCGTGGTATGGTTTTGCCACCCTTACTTCTGCGCTGCGGCTGGAGGGGCGCTGCCTTCAGAGCTGGACACCCGGTCACCAGCTGCTGCTCTGCGGCCACCTGCTGCTGTTCTCCGGCCACCCAGCTCTGAAGGCAGCGCAGAAGTAAGGGTGGCAATACCACGCCCCCCCCCCTAAAATAACCTTGTGATCCCCTGCAACTCCCTTTTGGGTCAGGACCCCCAATTTGAGAAACGCTGGTCTCCCCCGTGAAATCTGTATAGCGTAGGGTAAAAGCACACAAAAGACCATATTTCATGGTTCATGATGCATTTTTCATGGCTGTGAATTTGGTAGGGCCCTACTCATTAGCCTAGCTCGAGTGCAGAACAACATGTGAGCTACACAGAATATTTGTATTAGCAGCACAGAGTGGTGGAGTCCCCATTGCGTTGGCATCAAGCATCAGCATCACTGAAGCATCAACCTGCAGCCTCAAATGGGCCAGCTAGCTTGAAAGTAACACACAACTTAATTTGAGCTAAACACTTTGTGTGAGAGTGGGAGATGTGTTAGCAGCAACACTCAAGTTATACATCAAGCTAACAATTCAGTGAAGCCAAAGCCCTAAATTTGGTATTCTTGTTAGTGACTAATGTTCTTTCTGAAATGATGCAAACTCAGGATTATCTAACTAAATACTTGGCATGCCAGCATAGAAGATTACTGCCAATGACAGTTCAAGATCTCTGCTTTAATTTTATATCTTTTGTTGCTTTCAATAAAAAACCTGTAAAAGATTAAGGTTTTAAGTGCCACAGTAGAAAACCAATTGTGTCATAGAGAATAAGCGGATAAGAATGTTAAATATCAATAGAGAGAAACATTTAAACTCTCAAATGGTCTGTGGGCTATTAGAAATGATATTCAGGATACCTAATCTTTGTGGTTGTTATGGTGCTTATTTTAAAAGATACTAATAATGCTTTATCTCCCCATCTTTTTTTATCAGTTGCTAGATGTGCTGGAACAATACTGTATGGCATCTGGGCTAGATTACCGAAGACTTGATGGAAATACAAAGTCAGAGGACCGGGCCAGGATAGTGAGAGAGTTCAATAGCATGCAAGATGTTAACATTTGCCTTGTTTCTACAATGTAAGAGAATTTAATTTGTACTGTGTGTCTGCCTTCAGCTACGTATTAGAGGCTTGTAGTAAAGTTGCTGTGCATTCACTTGATTGATCTTGCATGGTGTTACTTCCTTGAGGAGGAGCAATAGCATTACTGTCAGCTGTTACAAGACTGTGGTGTCAGCTACATCCATTATGGGTTAAGATTACTACAGTAGAAATGGGTCATAACACTTAATTTTTGTTCTTCACATTCCTTCACTTCTGTTGTTTCTGGGATCGTTGAGATTTGAAACTGGTGAGTGATAGTTTTAAATCCCAGGCTAGCCAAAGACAGTGGGGAATCACAAATTGTTCCTAATAGTCTAGTGCACCACTGCATTCTTTATTTCTGTTCTACTGTGCACATTAAGAGACAAACTTTCAAAAACTAGGTTCTTAAGTTGTGTGTGCAAAACCAGCAATAGCATGTGAATTATTTTGTGTGCATAGTGGACCCATATGGAAAGCCATATTTTTATCAGTTACATTTTACACCTATGAATGATTTTTATATCTGCAGTTTGAGCTCAGTTTCCTAACACTTGTCCCTTAAAGCACTTATTTCTAACAAGCTATAAAATCTTACACATTCTATATGCCTGAAAGGGATCTTTTCATCAGTTTATGATGAATAGTGAATTCTACTGAAATAGGCTAATTAGATGTACATGTTCAGCCAAAAATTATGAAAATAGTGTATCAACCCATTCATGGTTTTCTGATTAGTTACATAATCCTTTATCTTTTAGCTCATCTGATTACTATTCCCAGGCAGTGGTGCAAAGGGAGCAGATGCTGCCTGTTTATCCCTGGCTGTGGGGAGACTCCAGTGGGTATAGAGCCAGTATAACTGTCTCCTTTGCTGTTCTTTCCACAGTCCCAGCACAGGGTGCATGTTGGGAGCAGAGAGGTGGAGAAGCCAGAGCACGATGCATTCTGGCTGTGCTCGGCCATCATAGCTTCTTTAAGACCACTGTCAGCTGGCACACATTAGAACAGCCCTCAGGCTTCGCTAACATGCACAGGTCTAGCATAAAGGCAGAGAATCAAGGCTCTAGAGATGTACTCTTGCTTTTCTGAGCATAACTTCAGTAATCAGAATATCTGGCCAGTGATTTCAGGGGACTTCTTGAATAAGAAACGATAAGCAGTTTTTGGCCCTTCTAGGTGAACAGAAAATTAAAATGAAAACAATCTATTACAGGAGCTACCCCTTTTGGGAGTTACTGTATCTGTACTGTTCTAAAAGGCTTTCTACTTATAGTGAATGTTCTGTCAACCTTATTCATTTTAAACACTTTAGGATTAGTTTCATCCCTATAATCTCATACATTTGGCGTTATGAAATAGAGAATTCAATTAAACGGAAATGGAGTCTTGCTTCATTAGTGCTTTCTTCTCCCTTACCCTTTTGAGTAGTAAGGGTGGTAAGGGAGGCCATGCTCGCCAGTGTTGCTTCATGACAGCCACCTTAATTTATGATGATCTTGTCTATACAGAATTGTATATAATGTTTCACATTTCACTGAGTAAATTAGTGAAAAACATGCCTAGGATAATATGCAGCATAGTGTACGTTCCAAGAGAAACAAAATGGTACTCTCTGTAATTCTTAAAATGTAGTTCAACACACACACATTATACAACAAAAATGAATGTGTTTCTGCTTTCCTGAGATAAAGTAATCAAAGAGACTACAAGAGTCTTTTGTAACTCTCTGGAAATCTGAAGGTGCTATATCCTAGTAGCACTCCACAGGGGTTTCTGGTCTCCTCTAAATCAGAGTTCAGGCACACCAAATCAAGATCTTTTGTGCAGTCATCTGGTTGATGGAACTTTTCAGTATCTTATTTATTTCTAAACACACAATAAGTTGACAGAATTGGGTCATACTTTTCTGTCCATAGTTTCTTGCAAAGTTTTTGGCTGACTGCTCTATGCAGTCAGCTTGTATGTGTTCTGAAAGTCTCATCTTTCAAAGAGCCAAATGTTAAGTTCTGACAAATCCACTTACGCTTTATTTTGGCTGCAAAAATGCATCTAAAAAAGAGTGACTTCTCAATACAGTGTATTTGTTTTTTTGTCATTTTGTTCCAGTGGCACAATCAATATACAACTTCAAAAAGAACCACCAGCCTATACAATTACTGAATTATGAAGCAATAATAACGACTTCATTGTTAAAACAATGACAGTTTCCAAATTTGTATTCTACCTTACGTTCTGGGGAAATAAATCCATTCTGCCTGAAATTTCTCCTGCATAGGCTTTAGCCAAAAAGTACCGGTATCATTAGAAACATAAACTCTAATGGAATAATATGGTTTTGGGAAAAGGGGCTTTCAAAAACAGCTTTTCAATAAATATAACTTTATTTGTAAAGGCATATCTCCAGAACACCTTGATCTTAAATCCTCAAATTTGTTTTAGATACTAGTATTGAACATAATCTTGTGGATAGTCTAACTTTTAAAAATGTACTGGACAAGTTCTAAGTAATATGGATGATTCCTACCAATCTTATAAATTTCTGGAGACCAGTAGCTATAGATTGTTAAAGATTACAAGGTCAGACACTTGTATGTTCTATGGAAGAAATAGGTTTATGGCACATATGCCCATGTCCTATTTGTTGTCACTTTTAAAGCTCCGTGACAGAAATATCTCTTTCATTAAGCCAGTGCTGGCAGAAGAATCTGTCTTGGGAGAAAAATAAATATGGTCCATAATGCTTAGAGTTATTGCTGGTTCTGGCAGCAAACAAGTTCAAGTTGTAAATCTCATGAGAAGTAGTGCTATGATTTGCAGGAGTTACAAACTCAACTGGTAAAGCTGTCAAAGCTTGTAATGTCTGTGACACAACTTAATTTAAGGGGAGGGAACTACAGCACTTGGACATTGGGCAGCCTTGTTCCAACGTTCTAATATATCATGCTGGAAGAAATAAAAACTGCTAATATCCCCTCCTTCAGAGCCAAATATTAAATCCAATGCTCTACCCTGTCTTTCCCACGCTAATCTCCATATGCTCAGAAATCCATTCATTTAAAAAAAAATCCTGATTCTGCTTCTTACATACATGCCCCATTACTTTAAACTTCTGCAAGGCCTCATGTAATTTAGAATCTTTGCAGCCAGGCTGGTTGAACTAAAACGTCCCGAGTCATTCTTTTCAGAACTCTCAGATCTTATAACTTGAAGTAAAGCTGACATGATAATCTTTAGTCCTACATTTTAGAGCTCACATAGTTAGCAAGCATTTCTGTGAAATGGACAGAGCCTCATGTAATTCACATGTGAGTGGCGAGTGGATCATATAACAGTCATGATCTTCAGGTTTTTTATCTGAGTCCTTCATATGTGAAGCTTACTCCATCAATTTTCTTGCAGAGCTTGAAAATTCCAAGGGGATAGAAGTGAAGGATTTGTATATCAGTGGTCTTGGCACTGCTGCTTGCAAGTGCCATGAGATCTGAAAGGAATGTCTCAAGAAGGTTGTAACTTCTTTTTGCATCCTTACAAAGCCTAAAAGTTTCAGTAGATCAACTGGAAACGCATAACATGCGTTCCAGTGCAGACTTTGGGCTTCTCTGTAGATTTTTGGTATTTCTGATATTTTTTTCAGAACAAGATTTCTTTTAAAATGCAATTTTCTTATCCGTTTGGTAATGAAAATAACCTTTTCTAATGTGAACTAGTGCAATGATGTCTTCCTGAGCCTGCATACAGACCTGAAACAGTAACTAGTAGAGCCATGAGCTACCCTTTACTGAAGTGGAGTTATTAATCCAGATATGAAGCCAGAAAATTAGGCAATGATGGGAGATGAGATAAATTGCATTGTAATATGCACTAGAAAGAATTTTAACTAATCTCACCTATGAGTGGCTTCTAAATTAAGTGTATATAAACTCAAGAAAATATTATAAAGTGTGCATCAGCAGTTCAAAAGCAAAAAAAAGTTAAGTTGTATAAAAGAAGGGACAGAGAAGAATAATGAAACTATTATAATGTTATAATATACATTGTTGGTTTGTCCTTACCTTCAGTAGTGTGTACAATTCTGGTCACTCATCTCAAAAAGGAAGTGGCAAGAGGGGAAGAAAAAAATCCAGAGAGAGGCAATGAGATGGCTAATCATGTAAAGACGTAAATAATTCTAATATTTAAATCTCTCCTATTAAACTTTTGATATTAGACAAATAAGAGTGCACAAGATAGAAGTGTGTAAAATTATTCGTTTGGTCAGGTGCTCTTACAGTATTTGCTCTTTTTTGTAATACAAGTAAAAAGGAGCATCCAATTAAAAGATGACAAATTTTAAAATTACAAAAGAATTTTTTATGTACTATGTAATCTTGTTTGTGGAACTCTCAGCCTCAAAGTGATTTTGAGACACAAAGGGTAGGATCAGACAGTTCTGTGAATAGAACTAATTACTAACTGCTTCCATAGAAACTTCCCTCTGGCATGTTGTTTTGTAACTTCTGAAGATTGTGGTACTGAGCACAGAGACAGGACACACAAGTAAATAGACCATTAGTCTGATCCAATATGTAGTCCTACAATACCATGAACTCTGGAAAAATAATGGTTTATTATAAGGCAAATGTTGCAAGATCCTTAAAAGAAATGAATGTAGCAGGCTGAGTCATCTGAGCCATGAGATCTCTTATAATTCAGTGTGATTTACTCATTACTTGCTTAAATGACACTTAGAATATTACCCATTTTTAATTATTTATTTATAACGCACCAACTCATTTCTAGGTACATTCTGTTTATGAAGAAGTCATAGGGGTCTTGTCTTCTGAAACATTGTAGTATACCTAATAATTTTATAAAACTTTTGCCCCTTTAATTTTTTTTAAACATCTTGTTTAGTCTTGTCTCTCCTCATACTCAGTCTGTTATGTCCGCTAATGAAATCTGAAGTATACTTCATATTTCAGGTTTCAAATATTTGGATTTTTTATTAGAAACCAATTGGAAAAACATGTTGACTTATATTTTGGTCTGACTACAGGTTTGGTAAGAGAAGCTGAATTCCATCCTCTCTAATAAGAAATATTCCAAAATACACTGGAGGATTGTATTAAAAAAAAAAAAAAAAAAAATTTTATTCAGTATTTCAGACTTTGAGAATGCTCATCTTCCGGAAACTTCCATTAATGTTGGCAAGTTCCCACATCCTCTTCTTTTCTAAATTTAATTAACCCAGCACTACACCACATTTGGAAGGAAAAGGCCACAACTTTATTTATATTAACAAGGATTCCACTAAGACCATAAGGTGGTGGCTCCCACCAATTTCTTTTTCTTTCTTTTTTTTTTTAATAAGGAAATTAATTAATTAATTAACCCTTTCCAACCACCTTAAACTAGCTTAATAGAATCCAAAATAAACTATTTTAAATATACACTTATGGAAAAAGTGTATCCAATATTTTATTTTATTTTGGGAGTGTCTCATTGAGAACATGTAGTGGCTTGCCTCCACTTTCTTCTAAAATCTTTGGAGAAACCATCATTGACCATAAGATACCACTATAAACCTTATGGAGGGGATAGATCTCGTCAAGAAAAAGACATTTGTCAATTAAGAATGGTATCCACTCAAATTGTGATGACCAGTCTGCCATACATACATCTATTACCTCACTCTTGCTTGTCACATCAGCCAAAGATGTATGCCTGATATTTGATTAACTGGTGCTGCTTCTAATTATTTAAACTCTATGTCTACTTTCTACATCCCCAGCAAGGGATACTGTTAGAGAGATATTCTTTAAACCCCTTAGCATTTCCGCTGGATCCAGTCTTATTGACTACCAGCCGTCTGATCACATCATACACAGGATGTGCTGAAGTGCTTTCTGGATCTGGGGGGGGAAAAAAAAACCCCAAATCAAACACATGGCATGTTTGAAATCAAAGTCCACCTAAAACAGCCTCTCAGATATTAGCACATTGGATACAAGCATTTTGCTTCCAGACGCTTTCCAGAAATTTTCATCTCTTTTTTGGGGGGGATTAGAAGGAATGTGGCTAAGCTGGTACTAAAGAGATTTCCAAGAGCCAGTCCTGCAACTTGACTACTCCTCTCTTTGGCCCTACTCCAGTAAACCACTTAAGCATATGTCCAACTTTAAGCAAGTGAGTAATCCTTTAGCTTCAATAGGGGAATTGTTCAACTGCTTAAAATTAAGCACATGCTTAATGGGTTTGCTATATTGGGGCCTTTGTAGTCTGAACAACATTTTGAGTTGTTAAGATGTTCTTGGAAGATGCAGGCAACACATTGAGCCTAACTGTTCCCCAAAAGTCCAATATATACATGTTTAATAGGACTTTCTTATAATGACCCTCACAAATATTGTCCCTATCCACTAGGTCTGGTCTACACTGGGGAGGGGGATCGATCTAAGTTACACAACTTCAGCTACGTGAATAACGGAGCTGAAGTCGCCGTACTTAGATCTACTTACCGCGGTGTCTTCACTACAGTGAGTCGACTGCTGCTGCTCCCCCGTCGACTCTGCCTGCACCTCTCGCTGAGCTGGAGTACAGGAGTCGACAGGAGAGCGCTCGGGGATCGATTTATCTAGACGCAATAAATCGATCCCCGCTGGATCCATCGCTGCCCGCCGACAACATACCCTAAAAGGACTGCATCAGAAATGAATGATGTTTTCTTTTATCATTCACTTTTCTGTGCTTTTACTTAGCCCTCTCAATAGTTTGATTCAAAAACAGGCACCACTGCACTCTAGTACTTGTTTATCCTGCCAGGACTGCTGTACCAAGAATAGCTGGGACCGGCATTACAAACTATACCATGTTTTGGTGTAAGTCATGTAGCAAGTATCCTGTCAAAATCTGTCTCCCTGTGATTCAAGAAACAAAACTGATGCAAACTCTGTAATAAGTCTCTCTTTACATAAAGTCTCTTCTAGCTGTCTCAAATGGATAGAATCATAGCTGATATAAATTGGCATAGATCTGTTGAAGTCAATGGAGCTATGTAGATTTACACCAGTTGAGGATTTGGCTTATATTGTTCACTTTGAGTGTTAAGGGGATGCAGCAGGTAGTTGGGCAGCACTTCTGTTATATCAAGGTGAAAGCAGCTGTTTGTAGTTGGGCAGGTTCTATAGTATGCCTGCAATTTGAGGTGGTATTGTGATTTGCTACAATAATCATGATTGTTAGGTTATTATGCTATTGTTGTGATTTGTAAATAAAGCGCCAGCCCATTGCTACCAATGTTGGTATAATGCTGTTTAATTATGTTTGGAATGGGGAAAAATGTGAGCCTACCACTAGTAAGCCTAATTTTGGTTAAATAGATCCAGAGCTAGAAATCATTTAATTTGAGTTAAAAAATGGTACTACCTAACTCCTTTTCTTGCAGTCGAAGAACTAACTCATTTTTTTTAAAAGGGCCGGTGGACTGGGTCTCAATTTTGTTGGAGCCAATGTCGTTATATTGTTTGATCCAACATGGAATCCAGCAAATGATCTTCAAGCCATTGACAGGTATAGTCTCAATATTAAAATTTAGATAGACATAGTGCTCTTTTTGTGTTCATTTTGGAAATTGATTTTCTCATGCAAATTTTCCTAGAGAACAATCTGATTTTGGCTGCATCAGACTAGATTTAGAAATGCCTGTTAATAATTTGTTTAGCATTAATGTATTCTGCATACTGTTTAAAAAGTGAGTGAGAATTTCCCGAGCTCCTTTATCTCTGAATTTTAACTTTTTTTATTTCCTACTTTTCAAATTGTGACATCATTGGAAGAGAGAGGTATAGGACAAAGCTGTGATTATGATAGTGTTTCATTTTAAAAAATAATAAGTGGACATATAGCCTGATGGCATTTTTCCTGAGCTTGGAACCATCATTGCTAACCTATTTAAAAGTAGAGACTATAAAAAAAAAAATACACAGTTACTGATCCAGCTCAAGAGTGATGTTGAGAAACATAGAATCCCTGAAGAAAAATAGTTGTGTTCTTATTTTCAAGCCTCTGTAATGTAGAGATGTCCCTTTTCAGCATTCAGTTTGTCTGATAGTTTGCTGTGGTGACACATGCAGGATTCTTACTTTATAAGTGTTTTATCCGAGACATTCTAAACCATAGGTTAGCATTTCACATGCAGCTCATGAAAATACTTTTAGATAACTAAGGAAACACTCCAAGGAGCCTTTAAAGTGTATAAAGCAATTGAGTTTTGATGAGTAAAAATACATTCTTTGTTCCATCCTATTTTATATTTTAGCTTTTAAGCTCCTCCATTATTTTATCATTTCTAACAATGTAGAGAGGATTTTTTCTATTTTCAGATACCTCCAGGAAGACTTCTCTTTCTCCACTTCCAACTCCACAAGTGGAAAAATGTTATGATGTTGCAGAAATGTGTGTCCTTGCAAGACTAGGTCTAGTCTTCATGGTACCACCTCTGTGAAGTTCACATTTCTCTGATGTCTTGACATTCAGTAAATCTCATCGGTGGTTTTTGAAAATAATCTGTTGGTAGTTTGAGTTATGGAGATTTATGGAGAAGAGAAGTGAGGGCCCTAAAGAGAGAAAATAAAATGTGAGCTGGGTAAAAACATTTAATTTCTAAACTTGTCTTTTAGGGAAGTTCTATTTAAGTTTATAGTATTTCCTTTTATTGGAATTAGGATTTTACTTATCTCCAAAGGATCTCATGTTAGCTAATAACCTAGTATTCTTCAAAATCACTCTCTTTGCAGAGCCTATAGGATTGGCCAGTGCAGAGATGTGAAAGTGTTTAGATTGATATCCTTGGGGACCGTGGAGGAGATGATGTACTTACGGCAGGTTTACAAACAGGTAAAGTTCACAGTGTCATGGTACACATAAAACAATAACTATTTTCAGCCAGCTGTCTGAATGAGTGAAAGCTGACGTATAGCAAAGTTGATTCTATGTTGGATTTATGACTTGCAATGTTAATTTATGCACTTGGCAAGGAAGAACTACCCAATTTTTTTCAGTGGGTGCTAACTCAGGCCAGTGATGGTACTTTAAATGCCGATGTTGTTACTTATTTCAGCACTCAAAGCATGTGAGAAAGGAGATTAAGTACCTCTTATGAAGATCTGAGACATCCAATATTGAATGTCATTCCTTAAAATAAAAATGTAAGAGCAAGTTTTAAATTTCAGTTAAATATTGGTGGGCCTGTACGAGAAATTAAACTGAAATTTAAATACATGATGGGATTGAAGGTGGGCACGATTGATTTTCATTTTCCGGAAGGGTGGGCTTACTTTTCAAAAGTTTGGGAAATGCTGGGCTAAATGGACTTAAGAAGTGTCCATTACTCTGAACACTACCTTATTTGCAAGAGCCAGTCTCTCCTGTTAACTCCATGATCCTCCAGTGCCTCATTTTGAGGGAGGGAGGAGGAAGAGAGATGAAGTGGGGCAATCCCCATTGCTAGTATAGTAACTTGGACAGTAATGGCTGCTTGATGACATCCTACTTCTGAGGAAGCCCACTGACTTCCTCTTCCTTCCCATGGATTGTGATGACTGGCCAGGGTCATGAGAATTCGTAAGAAAGGCTTTCCCTTCTCCTAGTTCAACTTGTCCTAGTTTTGTTTCAGGACAGTTTATTGAGATCATCTGGGCAAGAGTAAAGGTTGTGCCTATCATGTGACACTTTCTGAATGGAAAGTCTGAGGAATGAAATCACATGTGTGGATTGTGTCTATCCCTAGAACAGCAGCAGATAGTCACTAGTTCCTCACTTCATTTTTTCCCCAGTGTTTACTTTTACTTAATTGAAAATGTTCTGGTAAATGTACTGTGAATGAACTAGCAGAGTTCTGCTATATACCGGTAATCTAATTTAAAAAAGGAAATCACTGTATTTTTTAAGCTTCAATAATTAATTAGCATTTATTTAAGGACTAACATCTGCTGCTTTTTGTGCTCTATTCTGGAAAGTCTTACCATGTTTTTTTTTTCTCAAACGTACACAACTTTCTGAAAAACTTTTATATTCTTGGTTAATATCAGTATGTGTGTATTCTATTTTCTTGACTGTTACTTTCACAATGTCACATTGTTTTATTGTGTATAGGGGTTTTCTTCTTACTGGCAATGGTTATCAATCTGAAAAATAAACAGATGGAAAGATCTGGAAGCTAAGACCTTTCAGTGGAGAACACTGTCAAAATAGGTCAATTTTTAGACCTACTAACTTTGACAACCTTTTGAACATCAGTAAACATGTTTTTAAACTTCATGTATTCCTTTCTCCATTTCAATAATTATCTGATATCCTAATTAAATGCATGTTTGGGAAACCTTAATTGAAAGCACCATGAAAAAAATTGTGCTGTTTATGTACAAAATTTTCAGATGATTTTACAAAGATATTAGTACAGTATAAGGCATTCTTTCTACCAGCTTTGTAAAGTTCTCACAAACCACTACATTTTAATTTTAGCAGGAATGTTTAGGGCCAGACTTGCACAGGTCTGTGCATGAAATTGTGTACATACATATGCATGTTACTACTGAATGCAAAAAACTGATGTATTTGGAAGGGACAGGCTATTTACACAACTCTGACCAATCAGGTTCCTATTCACATAGCTGAGCGTATATAACTTTGAACATCTGTCTCTTAACTATAAGAATGGTCAGTTAAGATGTGCAAATCTAAGGCTCAGATTTTCATTAGATCTCCACTAATTAGGGTGACCAGATGTCCCATTTTTAAAGGGACAGTGCTGTTTTTTGGGACTTTTTCTTATATAGGCGCCTATTACACCCCCACCCCCTGTCCCGTTTTTTCACAGTTGCTATCTGGTAACCCTACCACTAATGCACCCTTAAAATCAACAGACAGATTGGTCTGCAAACACCTGTATATCTGTACGAACAGGTAAACTGGTACCTAACTGCGAATTGCATGTGCAGTTACCTGATTTGTCTGCCCATGTGTAGGCTTTTGCATGTGGAAGTGAGGAACCTACAAATCTTATGTCTGCATTGACAGAAACCTGCTCAAAATTTTGACCTGATTATCCAGAACTTGCTGAAATTTTTTTGTCTAATTGGCCAAGTATGTTTTACATAGAATTAGTCTACAGACAAAATCATTGGAAATCCAAGGCTCGTTTTTACATCTAGATTTGAATTACATTGACTGTTGAGCACCTAATTAGGCCCACGATTTCCCAGAGATTTTCAACCAGTGTTGATAAAGAGTATAAAAACCTATTGTGACCATTAATGAGAACACACAAACATGACAGCACTTGGACATGTGGCTTTCTCTATATGTGCAAGTGCATCCTCAAATAGACCTATAAACTGAGTTGTCTACTCTGTATTTAGTCAATGTTTTAATATGTGTAAGTAATTGATTTTTTGAAAAGCAGTCTATCTGTAATGCTTTGTGTTGTATTGTCTAAAGATGAAATTATTGAAGGGTGCATTTGATTTTGAAATTACTTTGGCATTTTTTTATTAGTGGAACAGTTGGGGGGAAAAAACCATGTACAACCAATAGTAATTCAGAATATAAAACAAGTAGAACAAAAATATAAAATTAAGTAAACAATATAAACTAGTTAATCTGAAATCTGTGGTACAACCTTAACTATGATCATGATTGCTACTATGTTCTTAGAGAAAAATGTACATTGCACCTAGCAAAGTTAGGGGTCAATCCAGCTATAGTTTGCTTTTGTGACTGATGACTATTTCAGAGGGGTACTTCTCCCTTGAAAGCAGCTGCATAGTCCTAGATGACCATTAAGTAGCCCTCAAAGGCTACCAACTTCCTAGGGACAGAGTTACAGAAAAATTGTATCGGTCTAGTAAAAGCCATCATTTCTTCCTGCTGTTCGTGCAAAGGATGTCAATTACATTTGTACTGAACACTTGACGTCACTTGAAGCATAGCTCAACCTGCCTGATTTCAAGAATGTTTAAATTTTATCTGATGTACTATTTACTTAACTGTTTCCAACACAGTGGTGACTCTTATTAGTCATTTGTACATTCCATTTAATCAGAGTGGATCAGAATTTAAATTTTTCCAGATCATTCGTGATTCAGTGACCATATTCTTTTTCACTCTGGGTGTACTTTAAATTATTGTTATTCAGTCTTTAAATATTTTTTATAAATTATTTGTAAACAGGCACGATGCAGTGAAGTACTGATACTCAAGAATAAGTTAGCAAGTTTCCAGTGTTAGGCATAGAACAATGAAGTAGGAGGCTTAGAAAAATTTTTTTTTTGTTTTGCTTTCCTATTCAGTAAAACTAGTCAGATTAATATTATACCACAATGGCAACATCTGCCAGGTAAATAAAAACAAAATATCCTTCCTTAGGTATTTCTGCCTCCTTTAACTAAAGCTGCGTATATACTGTGAATGCCAGGAAATTCTGACATATGATTGGAGCAAACATTTCTGAAATCTCTTGTGTTATTCTGTTTTAGCAACTTCACTGTGCGGTAGTTGGAAGTGAAAATGCCAAGCGATATTTTGAGGCAGTGCAAGGATCAAAGGAACATCAAGGCGAGCTTTTTGGGATCCATAACCTCTTCAAGCTTCGAACCCAGGGGTCCTGCCTTACAAAAGACATCCTGGAGGTGTGAAGCTTTCCTTCTGACTTTTGGATATTCGCTTTACATATTTTTTTCCTCTTGAAGCATTTTACCATAGATATGAATATAGTGCCATGCAAAGCAGTATGGTGAAACTTGAAACAACAAATGCCTACATTGTGCTTTAATCTAGGGCTGTGAGTTTCTCACTTTTAGGCACATCAAAATAATTTCTCTAAAATAAACAAAAATATGGAAAATGTGGTCTTATTAAAACTTGCCAAGAACTCAAAGAAATTCATTTCTGTTCCTAATAAAAATACCACAACTGATTTTGTGATACTTTTGCATTTATTCATCTGTGTACACAGATGTATTTTATTTATCAGATACAGTATTTGTCCTTTAAATCAAATTTAAAATACTTTTTTACTATGAAGAAAGTGTTCTGATCTTGCTAACCTTCTGTTTAATGGCTATTAGTTGGGGTGGATAGACATGTTTCATATCATAGAATTATTGCATTTATGTGTCATATGCATACATTATTTAAAAATACAGTCTTAAAAAGGTTGAGTGGGGCATTCCATTCTTAAATCCCTATGTTTTGGTTGTTCTCAAACACTGTATTGAGCCAGATTCAGAGGGTGGTGTTGAATGGGGTAAAGTATGCATAACATGCACCTCTTTATGTCTACAGTATGTATGTTTTACCAAATAAGATTCCCTGAAACTATTTTTCTTTCTCATATCCGACACCTTCACCCCTTATATATCACTCCTCAATCTGGTTTGTGGCATCTGAGGAGGAGGTTAGGAGCTAAGCTGGTATAAGTCACATGCTATGGACTAAAAGGTTAGTGTAGCAAATGAACAAAATCTTTAATACAAAGATGCAAGGAGACTATGTAAGGTAATGTAAGCCAAGGTGCACTTTCACACAACTCATGTATACCTGCTTCGGCTTCTTGATGAGTAAGATACTCCGATTTAAAATTCTTTACCCTTGCGTGTGGATAAAGGAGTCTAATTTTATAATATGGGATGCATTGCCTCTGAAGTTGGCCCATTGTGTTAAGAACTCTTTTAAACTGCGGAAGCCAGGACCCCATCACAAGCATTCTTAGTAATTTAACTTTAAAGAGAAAGCTTCTTAGGCACAGTCTCAGCCAAAAGTGAATGTTTCTAGAAAGTTTATAAACAAAATCTGCCTATCCCTATTTTGGGAAAGATACCTGTTTTGCACTTTGGGATACTCCAACTCAAATCTGTTTTGCTAGGAGGAAAACAATTCTGTCTTGGTATGTGCTTTAAATAGTCTTTAGTGATGAAAATACTGTGTGTCTAAAAAAAATGTTTTAAAAATAGTAAAATTTTGGATGTGTGTAGGATCTGCTCAACATGTATAATATGTCAGTTTTCTTACTCATTAGAGGCCTGATCTAACTGCCATTGAGTCTTTCCATCAACTAAAGTGTGGCAATTTATTTGGGCCTTAAGTGTGAGTGGCCATTTTACTCTTGAACATGTGCACTTCCAGATAAAGACAGAAAAATTAAGCTTTGCCCTGTCTGCCCATCTTACCTTGAAGACCACACATGCTGCCTTATTGTGTTGGTAATTTTTATTATAAAGCTTGCCTTGCTTGCATCTTTTCTCTTTTAGAGGGAGGGTCAAGTGGAAACAGGAGTCATGACAGCCACTACGTGGCTAAAGGAGGAGCCACCATCATGCAGGTTAGAAATGGTGAGTTGTCTTTGTGCATGTCCTACAACATAGAATGTGGGTGCTATTTTTTCCTCTCGTTCCAGCTAGTGTGTTGAGCAAACATCTTTGACAATAACTAGACACAACATTTTTAAAAGATACAGTATGTAAGGGCTATTATCAGAAAGAGAGAACATTGCTGCAACATGATGGTCTTTTGCTGCCTTTGGTTAGAATCTGCAAGAAGATAATGAATATCAGGCAAACTTCTGTTAATATGTTTAGTCTGTGGTAATATCCCATCATAATGCCTCTACAGTATTTCTTAAACACCATCAGACTGTCATGTGTGTATATATTTTGTTAATGGATACTGTTGATGTAGAGGAACAGTTGCTCACTGAGCTATTGTTGAATTGCTGTATTCTGAATGGCTTATTTGACAAATGGTTTGTTGGACCAGAACCTCAATTGATGTAAGTCGGCCTAGCCCCAGTGACTTTAGTGTCTGTTCACACCAGCTGAGGAGCTGCCTCCTACTGTACTTTCGACAGAGAATTTGAAGTAAAATTCACTCCTTTGCACAAAGCCCAAATAATTGGTCCTTGGATGGGGGGGGGGGGGTGTATGTCAGAGACTCGGTTGTGCTCTGTGGTTAGACTGGGTGTCAGGCCTCGTAATTAGAACTGAAGTCAGGACAGGGTTACCTGGAAAGAGGCATGGCTGGGGCCAAGACAGGAACAGGGCTGGAACAAGCTGGCACAGAAGCTATCACAGCTGTGAGCAAATGCTTTGAGCAGCCCCTGAATGCTGCTGCTGGGCTTAAGAGCCAGTCTGCTGACTTTTCCAACCACTTGGGTGGTTAGGCCAATCAGAGGCATAACTATTAAATATAGTCAGTATGCTATAGCCTAGTAACTGATATAGTGGTCAGATCCCCTGTGCAAGGGGTTTGGGCTGCTTGATCCATATAATTGCAGATCCAGTAACCCCTCCAACAGGCCATCTTAATAACTTGTTCCTTACTGGCTTTTGGAGAACTGGTTTGGAGCCCCCATTTTGCAACATGCAGGGGTGCATTAGTTCAGCTGCATTGTCTTTTGGCCAGCACCGCTTCCTGTAAAGAGTTTACAGGCCTTCTGCACTTGGGTGAATTTTGCTCTTTATAAATAAGATAACTTCCTTTTAACTGAATAGTTTTTTCAACTTTGCCAGTAAACATGCACATACATATTACTGTGTTTTTAGTTATAATGGAGTCCATTTTGGAGTTATACTGGATTTTAAATTGCAACAAAATAAACTGTGTCTGTATCATAATTTTAATCTTTGAATCCATGAACTTTGTATCTATTTGGCTATGAAGGATTATTTTTGTTTTATATTTGTGGTGAGCAGTTAGGGAGTGGGGTAGAGGGATTAAATATAGCTATAAACTAGGCAAAAAATACGTATAAGCTTATTGTGTGTTTGTGCCCCACTGAGTTGACTTGTACTGTAAATTGACCACAATCTCTTAAGCCGGATCTTCATAGGAAAATGTTGTTTTGTTGGTTGGGGTTTTTTGTGTAACCAGAGATATGAATTTACAGTGATATTGTGTATACCGGTATAACCTCCATGTGGATTCTCTTATTCTGATGGTTGAGTGGCCTTTTGCAGTTTAATTTCTCATTTGGGAGGGGGTTTAAGCTAAATAAAGAAAGCTACTTTTATACCAGAATAAGCATGTCGAGACAATGAGTTATACCAGAATAACTATATTGGTATAGCTAGTAAAACTTTTCTATGCAGATAAGACCGTAATAATTTACTCTTCTGTAGTTACCTTCCACATATATTTTGAAATATTTATGTACTTAGTGTACATAGTTCTGTTCCTGTTTTCTGAACGTCTTCAGTTTTGTACTTGGCTAGATGATGTGTGCTTGGCGACAATAGTCCTTAAGTGATTCTAGAGTAGAAGGTTATGTGTGCACAGCTCTTTAAAGCATTATAAATGGGAGCGTTGGTCCCCAAATCCTAAAAGGTTGACCATCCTATTATGTGTTTTCCTTATAAATGATTTGATTATGTAGTGTTTTGGTTTGGACTGTTGAGTTGCTTTTCAACTTAAACAACTTGAAAGTTGCACCAAAATGAGTTCAAACTGTAAATGTAACAGTATGTTTACTGGACAAATGCAGGTTGTTCCCAAACAAGCAAACAATAGATAGTATGTGTTATTGTCCCAAATATTTAACACAGTTTACTAATATTGGGGGGTTTTTTTGGTCATAATACACATGCTATTATTTGGTTAAATATTGTATTGCATACCAAAACTTCCTATCTGTGTATTGAATATATACTTATTTTTGTATAGATTGGGTTTCATAATTTAGTAAAAATCCATTTTCTGTATTAGAGAGTCAAAGTTAGACATTGTTGTTCTACATATATTTTAAATAGCTTTTTTGTTTCGTTGTAATGTTAACTTCTGTGACAGTGATTTTCAGTATTTTTTTTTTTTTTAGCATGCAGAGCCAGATTGTGAAGAAGATAAAGCTCCTCTCAAATCTAGAGAACAACTGGAGAAAGAGGAATTTGATTTTTATAGTGACTTTAGTGATGATGAACTTGTGGGAAGCTCAAAAACAAAAAAAAGCAGATTTTGCAATGCAAATGACATGCTAATTTCACAGAAACAGCTTACCTTAATGCAGTGTGGTTTTCCTAAACTGTTAGAGAGAGAAACTAAAGCTACTGAGATCGTTGATAGTAATGGTGCATCTGATCAAGAAAGCACAGATGCCTTGTCTGTGGGCCAAAGATCGAATGTAGATGTCAAGTGCATTGGTCTTCAGAAAAGTAGAAGCCATAATAGTATTTTGAGACATCGGAGAACCACTGAGTCACCAAATAAAACTGAAAAACAAGATATGCGTTGTGTGATTGTAGCCCCAGATTGGCCTGTTTCATCTGACTCTGAGGGAAAAAAGGACATTGAAAATAAAAATGAAGATCAGTGCATTTCAAAGGAAATTGGTGTAGTCATGGAGACTGAAGGCAGCTCAGAAGAGAGTGATGATATCATCTTTCCTTCCCAAGTTCCAGCTCACCAAGAAACTGCTCCTGCTAAAAATGTTAAAAGATGCAAGGCTGTATCAGAAAAATTGGAAGGGTCAGTTACAGAAAAGACCACTAAACATACACCTAAGAGAGACGCTTTGGCCTGTAAACAATCTCTGTTCCGTAATACTGGGTCAGTCTTTACCAAAACAAAGTCTTGGAAAAATGCCCAAAAAACCACAACATATGTGAAAGGCACTAGTGACATAAGTGATGAGTCTGATGATCTTGAA